GCTTTATATCCAAAAGGGGCTGCCTAGAGAGACTCTTTCTTAAAAATATTGTGTTTCTATCTTATCTGTGTAAAAGTAAAATATTTTTGTTGAGACCAACAGTGATGCTTAATGAACGATTTCTCTATGGCTGTCCTGATAGATATAAACCTTGAACATACCTCTATTATGAACAAAACAAACTCAGCTTGTTTACTCAAGCTGTAATAAGGATATTCAACTTTAATTCGGTAAACCATCTTTTGTGCCACCCTGTACTGCCATATTTTTTATAATTTGTTTTGCTTTTGCAGATGAGTTATGGAATAAGTGTAAATCCTTTAACTTTTCCATCTATCAGAAAGATTAATTTAGAAAACGTTTTCCGTGCTGTTTTGCAAATGTGAGCTCTCTATTGAACGAGCTTCGAAACAGACTTTTAAACGATGTTAAATGTTTCAAAGATAGAAACATCATCCTATGTTCTCTTCACATCATCTGGTGGTTGGTACAATCATTTTTTGTATAAAGTTTTGTTTCAATATTTCTCAAAATTATCAAGAATGGAACAATGGGCTCTGTATCATTTTTTACCTGCATAATAAGATTAATCTACGCAAATGTACATGAACATTGTTTAAATATTGTTCTTTCAAAAGCAGTTCGACCGCCAAAATACATATTAGTTACATAAGAAAAAAATACTTTGTCATTATCAAACAGTAAGATGGTTCATCATTTGAGAAACATGTGATGAAAATGGGATAAAGTTCAAGAAACTATGAAGAAAACTTGCACAAATAACTAACTATTGTCGTATACGTAACGGTTTCATTTGCTGAACATAGACGAACACTCTTTAAATTTTCAAATGAAGCATCAAATTGAATACCACATCTAATAAGAAAATATAACTGTGAAATAAGCTTTCAGAGAACAGAATAAACGTACTGTGGACACTGACTCGAGGCAGGTTTGATACACAGTGCTAAACAAAAAGTTTTTAATTTTGGCAGTTTTGTAGGATTTACGGAGTTCGACGAGTATTTTAATAATTCTTCCTTTCAATTTGTTTTATATTTGAAGATATAAATACTGTCGATTGTTTTTTGCTTATCAAACTGAGCTTATCAATCAGTCGATATGGTTTTACAAAACTCTAAATGCTTGATGAATGATTTTCGGCCATATGTGTCACTCGATCAGGTAATAATGATGGTAGAGCATTATTAATACAATTTGCGCAATCAAGCATTAGAAGAGAAAATAATGGTTCTAATGCCAAATTAAGAAATGTTTACACGTCGTTTCGATTAAGCACAGAAAGATCAGTATCCATAGTGTGTACTTTAGAAATCAATATCTGAATCCTAGACGATATTCAGCGGTCTTTTAAGTAGCGATTTCAGAATACTTTTTCTCTTTAATTATAATTTTCTAATGGCACATCAATTTTTTGATGTATCTTAAAATCATCGAAAACGGTAAAAAAACGCTTGTTAGCGTAGCTTCTCTGAGCTAAAATGTGGAAATCACATGTTTTCTTTAGGTTCATTATACTAATCTATTTCTTTTGATCTTCATAAGCAATTAATAAACCGAACAATAAATGAAGTAGATAATTTTGTTTCAACTTAGTTAAAAAAGAATAGAACAAGCAATAGAACACAAAGAAATTAAATAAAAGGAACATCAAAAAATGAACGTAAAAGAATAATGTAGTAAAAGCTTTAAACATGTATCGAGGTGTTGACAAATGACATCAGAACTTTTCCTTGATTTTTGGACGCCCTTCTTCTATCCCGTCACTTGTTATTTTTTCGCGAACCTTCCTCTGGTTTCCCACGAAAAACGTCACCTAAATATTTCTCAAATCTTTGCTAGAGTATTAGCTACAGCTCACGAAAACGAATCATAAAGGTTGAATCCCTTAAAAACACATTTATTCTTACTTAAACAGGTTTTAACGAATTTCCTAGGCAAATTATTATCATTTGATGCGTCATAACGCATTTTTTATTCATCAATCAGAATTAAAAAAGAAGATATGCTGTTTAAAATCATTTACTGTTGCTTTTTTCTCTAGTGACAACTTGGCTAAAATGAAAGCTTTTCGTGAAATGATTTATTTACGCTATCATATTGATGATCGGACTAATCAGCAGCATTGGAATTCTTTGTCTCGTAGTTACTACGAGACAAAAAGTAATACTCAAAAGTATTCAGTAATTTCTATTGTTTCTTATTCGATTGATATGTATCATTTTATTTATCTTCAAGTACATAAGTTTATAAAGACGAGCCTTAATTAAATACTTTATGATATATTTTGAGATCTGTTTTTTCATTTATTCGATTCTCTACTTACATTGAGTTTTCGTAGATTAGTCTTCTCAAGAATAACTCAGTCATGAAAACCCAAAACCACTTTTTTTAAATCAAAACTATTTTTTTTTAATCACAAAAATCACTGACAGCTCATACATTTTCTGTCACTCTTTCTTAGTTAGATTCCGATTCTTGTTGAAATAATTTTGTATCATTTCAACGCTAAAAGTACCCACCGATGAAAATTGAATTCAAATTAATCGAGAGCAGAAAAATAATATTCATCATAAACTTTGCTATGAATCTATTAAATCTATATAAAAAAAACACTAGCTACTGAAAAAAAAAGTAAACACAAGAATAATTCATTACATAGATAAAATATTAGAAAATTATCCAGTCATTTCTTTATTATCTTCCACTTTGATAGAGATATTTCAATTTCTGAGTAATTTTCGGTTTCGAAATGTTGTATAAACTTTCTAAACATGAAAATGCATTAGCAAATATATTTCGGACAGCAACATAAAAGCTTCTATATTAGGTGCTTGATCCATTTTTGACGTTCATTCTTCTGATGAGGACGAGCAAGTTGAGGATATAGTTGATATTTGTATGAGTGATGATAGTGCTGAATCTGTTGGTGATACTCGTCAAGTTTCATTATTATTGGATTGATGATCACTACATAGAAAGTAATCAACAATATATTTAAAATAAACTTTCTTCACGACTTACAATGGCAAACATAAGATAATTGAATAATCTTCATCTTCTGTTGATAATACATTAGTTTCTTTTTCAGGCAGAGCTACAGCTTTGTTGGTACATTTTCTAAAATATTGAAGTATTGTTGTTTGTATAATTTTGGGACGTGTTTCTAATATTTTTTTAAAAATTGATGTTGAACTATTAGCTGTCATCGACCTGTTCTTTGATGTTGGAGTCACCAATCGTACTTCATTACAACTTGTGGAAAGAAGTAAACATAAAAATAGTATTTTCCACACTAGCTTTATGAAAGGAAAGTAGTTTGGATATGATCTGTATTTTAAAATAACATTAGCCTCTCCAGATAGTTGTGCTGAAGATGATGACAAGATCACGTCTTTAAAATTTTCTTTATATTGAACTCAAGGTATTTAGACTTTTTCCAAATATTGCTTAATCAATTGCTCCCCACCTGAATGTTAAATGATTCCGACATAACTTTGATAAACATTGTAGTGTTCTATTTACCAGATTTGAGTCTATTTTTTGAATCTCATCCACAGTTCTATTGAAACTAATTGTTCAAATAATGGTTTCACCACATCATAGTTGTGTTTGAGTATGGGCACCGCATTTAATCAAAAGAATCTGAATTTATGAGCAAGAACAACAGCAAATATCTGGACACTTTAGTTACTTACTTGAGATATTACGAAACAAATATTTCCATAATTTACAATAGCTTATTGAAAAAAGTTAATCTTTGGCTTTGTACATGATAAACTCTTAACTGATGTTATTTGATGATGACAATCTTCTTTGTGTAAACGGATCATTCCACTTGATGATTGATGTGCATGTGAGTGTGAATGATACTCTGTAGCAAAACACGTACGTTTGCACTCATATTCTCTACGTGAATATTTAGCATAGAATATTTTTGGATCAGTGAATGCACATACATTATTGCTAGTTCGTCGTTTCTATAAAAAAAAGAAAGGAAAGCTAAAAATTTTTAAATAACTTCTCTAAATTAACAGTAAAATATAATATTTTAGAATGAACAAGAATTATTTTACTGCAGAAAATAGTGGAAATTGTTAAGCCGCAATCATTAATATTTGTTTGGGATGTATGTAATGGAGATTACTTATAAAACAAATCTATTGATATTTTAGTTATAATCAAATTCTATCACAAAATAGCTTTCATAATGAAAGCATCAGTTTAATTGATACAAAACAAAATCAAAATGTAGTAGGTCTCAAAAGTTGAAATTTGAAATTAAAACTTAATTTGAATATAAAATTAATAATGTTTATGTTCAAATGCTAGTATATACATGTAAAGAAATTCTTGTAAAAGTCAGTAAACCGTTCAATAGTAGAGATGGATGAGTCAAGCTCTTTTTTACCATTTTCTGTTCATTTATATAAAGAATGTTAAAATCAATTTTTCCATGGTGCGAATGTCTTATCAAGTGTGAGGGTACCACTTCAAAGATTGACTGTATGATTATTGAAATATGTACAAAGTGCCTGTACTCTCAAAATTAGATGTAATTCCTGAATAAAAAAACTGTAGGACACAATATGCTGTGCCTAGTTTTTATGTATTAAAATGAAATAAGAACAGTTCTACAAAAAATAAAATCATACAACTACTATAACCTTATCAAGAAAGTAAGGGTAATCAAATCAACCGTCATCGGTCGCATACACTCACAACTTCACATCTTAATAAATTCAAATGACTTTTGTTTTCCGAACAATAAAATTACAACGTGTTTGAATATTTTTCCTACGGAAAATCATTAATTTTGTCTGAAACTAATTTTATTGTTGAATGAATGACTTGGACTCATTCGGTTCTGTATTGAACTACTGCTACATGATCTTAGTCTTCATATGCTGGCGCCTTTTTCTTGTGTTTTGATCCATAATGCACAGCGTATACGATTAGAGAGAGAAAGCTGGAAAGATTCCGTTCCTTTAAATAGTTTCACTCGTGATAGCTTTTTCCATGGAGTTTTTCTTTAAAAGTACTTAGCGGATTATAAAATTTCAGTGAATTGATACAGCTATGCGAAAGAAAACATGTATTTTCTCTTAAACACAAAAGGTGTGGATGTAGACGTTATCCGAACGAAGGCATCTAACAACACCCACAACCACAGTCAGGCCTACCATATGCAGGCCAACATTTCATTGTTACGTGCTCTGACTTTTCTCAATGTTTTCGTAGAAACGTCCAGTGAATAAACTGCTGTTACTGATACAATAAAAAATTGATCGCCGACCAGTAGGCAGCTTTGACATCAAACTCTTGTTTCATATATTAAGCTGTTCCTGTCTTATTTCATAAATAAGACTTAATAAGCCGTAAGGAAAATAGAGTACACATTCATTACTAGCAGCTGTTACTTTGTTGTCTGATTTGATCTTTATGCACAATCTTGGTATCTCTTTCACTTTACTAAAGCTTAATGAGGATACAGGCTATGACGTTATTGATAGTAGAGTTGAAGTCGTAGATGGACTTCTTAAAGTCATTGAAAAACATGTCGATTCGGCGTCCATAAGAAAAATCGATAATAAGAGTTTTTTCTTATTTGTTCTCGTATTCTGGACAAAGAAATCAGATTGTATAAGACCATCGTTATCATAACAAGTAACTATTACAACATTGATAAAGTGTCAAGAGGCGTCTACATTTTAATCTCAAGTTTGAATTGCTCGCCATAATCCACTAAACTTCTTCACTGTACTACGTTCAAATAAAACTAATTTCCTACACTGACGAAGCACGATTCCAAAATAATCAAAAGCTTTGAAGCTCATATTTTTTCTAGTGGTTGATATCCAATTGGCTAGAGCAGGCTCTAAAACTCTATCGAAATAGTAACTTTCTAATACGTGTTCTCTGTATAAACTCGATTTTTTTCATCAAAACTGATTGTCGAGTTCTGACCTGAAAACTTTGCTCAAATGAAGATGTCAGTAGGATAGGCTTATGCACAATATTTCAGGCTGTTTGATCGAGTGTCTCTGAGATATGCGTTTTCCAAACTATGCATGTTGGTCTCATTAAGAAATTCATTCAGAAACAATTTTCAGGCTAAAATTCAACAACAAAATTATATCGAAAAGTTAGGCTCATAGGAAGAGAATCCACCAAAACTTCAAAATCTTGATCAAATCTTCATTTCAGTATGATCCAAAGGAAGAACGTACTACTCTATCAGTGTCCTATGGCTTGGCAAAATATGTGCTTAAAAGTTTTTGATCATCTGTGGATATATCCTCGTTTTTCAAAACCTCATTTTGCTATCAACAGCTGTCTAGTTTGTTCAAGTTTTTGATGATCTATCTAAATATATTCAATCAACCTCAGTACTTACCAACAGCTAGTTGATGATGTTGTGCTTGGTAAAAATGTGGATTAGTCAATTGAAATGGAGGTTGAGTCTCTTTCAAATGAATAATGTGAAGATCTGATTGTGCATTTACTTGACCGATACTCTCGAAGAAAGTATCAGACATCAGAATAACGTCTTTTCTCGTATTACTAAAATACGAATGTTTCTTAATCGACTTGCCGTTGACACACTCAATCGAGAAGAATGTTCTTATTCCACTTTTACTTAAAAAATCCGCTGTTTCTAATACGTCTGGCGTTGTTGTGTCTTCCTGATTCGGACTATTACTCTTAGCAATCCAAACATTTTCTTCTAAGTCGATGAATAAATGCGCAATAGGCGAAACAGCGTCTTCGAGTGAATGTAGTGATTGATCGTGATAGCCGTTAATTGTTGTCAAGATTTTACTAACTGGCTCTTCTTTACTTTCAGTGTAATGGAATTGAATCAGGTTGTCTAGTATAAATGTAGTTAAAGCAGTTGCCATTAAAAAATGAAGAAAAAATGTATGTGCTATTGAATGCCTTTTAGTGTGTAAGTAAGGGATATTAAGATTGACTTGTGCATTAAAAACGCAATGTTCACTTTTCTTTTCGGCTCTCCTTCTCTTTTCTTATTAGAGAAACTTGATAAGAGTGCCAGAAAGAAAAAATCTTAGTGAAACATTGAGATACGATATGTTACAGAAAACGACTTCATTTTTTATTTACATGAATAACTATTGCGAGGAAAACTGAGAGAAAGTAAAAAGGGTGATTCTCCTAAAATGAGACAAGATATTCAAACAAGAGAGAAAAAGCGAGATGTTATTTACTGTCAAAAAGCTTGAAATATGCCCGAAGTATAATGATATGTGTGGAATGGACGTTGTTGTGAATGAAGCTTGAGAGGAGATTCAGATTGATATCTTACGCTTTTCAAGGAATATCTTAACAGCAAGAATGGATGAAGGTCTACTCTTCATCCTCACTCTCATCTACCTTGCCCTGTGCCTGCATATGGACATATGTAAAGAAAAAACCAGACCTTTGTCCTGATTTTTTTTTATATCGGAGGAAAAACAAAAAGAGTAGAATCATTTCGTTATGATAGCAGTGCTTGTTACATTTATTGAATCATGAGAGACTGGAGAAGTAGCGCTACCGTCGCTCTCAGTATCGATGTTAACTATGCTACTACATCATTTCAGCTCTATCGTATAACATAGAACATAAGAATTTATAGAAGAGTACAAGAGATAGACCAACGCAATCATATTTAAAGAACAGAAAGAAAGAAAAAGACAAACAATTACAAGAAGAGAGCAATTGAGAATAGCGCAAGTTTGTCCTCTACGTTTTCATAAGTCAGAGACAAAGACAAATCCGTGTCCCATGATTTATGAGAGATAGTACTTAAATAACTTCACACCTAATCTAGCTGTGTCTTTTTTATTGACACAATTTGCCTTAAATCATATGCAAATTAAATATTTCTAAATGATTTTCTTGATATTATCGAGATCATTTTCTAATTTTTCTGATCAGATCTCAACTGAGTAGAAGTAAAATTATACAAAGAAACGATTTACTTTATCGTCACACATACTAAATTAATCTTTTGTCCATAATCACGATAATAATGCAAGAAAAAATTAGCGAAGGTTTACCATACATGAATCGATAAAAACTGCAGCGTCATCGTCTCATGACGTATCGACTAGTGGGAGCGAACTATCATATCATTTTTTCTTTCGTTCTATACAAAACAAAAATATGCTATAAATAAAGTGTATTATAACGTTACGATAAACAATTGTTACAAAATGTCGACAACATCGATAGCTAATACAAACGATGAAACTTTGCGTGAAATAATCGAAGCAACAGGCCGTTATCGATATCATATTAAGTATGAAGGTTTCAAAATAAATCATATGCTTCATGTTCTTGTTGTTCAACATCAATTCGGAGCATCGGATAATCGTCTACGAGAAATCACTGAAACATTAAGTGAAAAACTGGAACCGGCTCATACACGATAACCATCGCTTGAACCGATCACTCATGATACATGGCAAAATTTAATGGGTAAATAAATACGATTTATCGAATTAGCTGAATTTTTCGATAAAGAATTAGATGATCGTTTCAACGGAGATAAAACAGCGTTGCTTGTTGAATATTTACCTCAATTGATCGATGGTATGAGTGGAATCGCTACTCATGGTATCATCCATCTTGGCTATGCTTTACGATCTCCATCGAAACAATCAATAGCTGATGCACTAGCTCTTATGGTCTATTCGTACAAAACACTTGGACATATGAATGCTAATAAACATCAAGTAAGTAAACGATTAGCAGGAAGATCAATCGTAATGTTATTAGTTTTCTTTGAAAGATGATCGAAGACAAAGAATCTCCTGTGGATCCATATTTTGGGTGTAACGAACTTATTCAACTACTTACATTTGTACAAAAAGATGCTAAAGATTTAGCTTCGTGTGTAACTGAAGAGAGTGGTGGGAAAATTTTATCCAGTTACTTTTCACGTCCTATGAATGTATTTTATTCACATCCAGAGATGCTCGAGAAACTTCAATCGTTTGAATTATGAAAAATAGCGAATGTTGCGCTATTAGATTGAAATGAATACATGAATTAAGAAAGATAAGACACATCATTGATCCATATTTTATAAAGAGTTTATCGACAAGTAAGTTAATGTGTACGAATTTGATATAGAGGAATGAGTAAAGGATTACAAGGACACCGAGTCTAAAAAAGAGAAAAGAGTGTTCATTAGAATATATGTCATAATATCACAACTTGGTATGAAGTTACAGTCTAAGTTTATCAATCTTTTTTAGCGCAGAAAAACATAATTTTACATATACTGAGAATAACGACATG